AATGACAAGAAGGCAGTGTAGTGAGAAGCCTTTTCCTTGTCTCCATTAGCAGGTCCTATGTTTCCAGGGAGGCATCAAAGAGAGAGGAGCAGGAGAACGCAGGGGGGAGGCAGTCTGTAAGCTTCAAGCTGCACACAGAGATAAAGACCAGACATATCTGTGAGTGTTTGAGTGTGTGAGTGTGTGTGTGTGTGTGTGTGTGTGTGTGTGTGTGTGTGTGTGTGTGTGGGTGTGTATGAGAGGGGGGGGGATTAGGCTGACTTTGACTGGCTCTGTTCCATTGTGACAGGAGCTCCAAAGAAGCTGCACACTGCCACATGATGGACAGGGCTTGGAATTGCACAGATAATGTATCTCTCTCTTGCTCTCTCTGTGTAGTGTCTGTGTGATACTGTCTCTTAGCCCCAGGACATTTGAGCTTTACAAATTTGTGTGACTGGAAAAACATGCACTGTGGGCACTGAAGGTCATTGGCTCTTGAAACTTTGCAATTATATACATTTGATTCTCTATTTGTGTGAGTGAGAAAGAAAGTGTGTAAGACCACAAGCATTCATGTCATGGCAGAATCTTCTATTTAGTATTTTCATTGTAGCCATGTGTCTTTGCAAAGATGCTGTAGACTCGAAGCGTTGGTTGGGTCTGAAGACTATGAGTTTGAAAATTAAATAAATTGTCAGCTGTCAAGTAGCATTGTGGGTCATGTAGGTGCCAGGTTTTGACAAGGAAGAAGGAAAATAATATTTCTGGTTCTTTTTCAAAATTGTCCCATAATGCTATTGTGCAACGCTAAATCTGTGGAATACTTTTTAAATCTGTAAGTTGAGTAAAGAAAAGTGAAAGAAGAAAGGAAATACATGAAACAGAAGTAGACAGAAAAAACTCAGAGGGACAAATGGAAAGACAGAGAGGGAGAAGAGAGAGTTTGAAGTGGAATGAAACGTAAGAAAAACAAAACAAACGAAAGCCAATAATAATGATGCTTTAGACATTCAAAAGTGAAACCAGCCCAAATAAAGCCCTGTCTTCTCATTCTCTTCTTGTTCTGTTAGCACAACTGCATTAGACATTAATGTACAACACGTATTAAATTTTTCTAGTGCCTTAGTTGGAATGACATAAGCTTGTTTCACAGGTCAGAGTTTTTAATGTTTGACTAAAAACCCTCTGCTAAGTCCTGCCACGCCTGACCCTCCACATTACCTTCATCACTAAATTAAATCAGCAGTGACGACGCTGTAATATTCTGCAACCATGCAGCTGCCAGAAGGAACTGTGTGCTGCGTGCTGATGCTTCTTTGCCTTCTTTGGTCCACTTACAGTACTTATTCCTAATAAAGTGGGAGATTATCCTAATGTATCAGGTTTAAGAGGCTACCAATGACAAATATCTTGTTTTTCTTCCAAGGGCAATATGTTATCAAAAGTACTGCAACTGAATGTCAGTGTTTATAGGGCATATTTAAAATGTACCATCTGTATCTGTAATTTTATCTTTCTACAAAATGCAGTTTTAGCTGTTCTGTAGTCAGGTTGTTCAAATTTGGAGGCTCTACTATAATAGGTTATAAAAACACATTATTTTTGTGATACTGGCCATTGCTGCAGCACCTCTGTCTGACAAACTCAGCTTCAGCTGCTGTCCCCCCTCCAAAGTAGCCTAGTCTGCTCCGATTGGTCAGCTCGCACAATCCTGAGCAGGCACTGCCCACCATGTTTCTGCCTCAGCTCTGCTCCAACTCCATTGATGAGCACGGTAACATAGCTTCTGGGTGCTAATCAAAGTTACAAAACATTTCCAAGCAAATTAATTCACACATAGCTATATCGTTATTCAGGACATGTTATCTAGTGGATCTGGATACAGCTTCCGCAACATACGCACACAACTGGCCCCGACAACAACAAAAGCTAGCTGAGCTGATACTAATACTGCAGAATGAAGTTAAATTAAAAACATTAAAAACAGTTACCAGCATCCAACCTATTACTCTCGTTATTCTCTTAAACGGCTCACACACAGCCTGTTGACTGTCCCTCAATATTACAGCATTAGTCTCCTATGCAAAATGCTAACAGCAAGTTGAACCTACTAACCTACAAGAAAGTAAAACAACAGGGTTAAACTTGCAGCTTTAAAGTTTTAAATTTAGTCATGGACAGCCAGTATCAATAATTGACCTTGAATCATTTCCAGATCTCATTGATAAAGCAGTCCGTAGTAAAATGCACAAACACACTCCAGTTTTTCCATCCCTGTGAGTACATTTCTGGATCAGTTACTGAAAATAACATGACTACACCGGGTCAGATGATGGAGGGCACCAGACTTCGTGCTGGTCTGCGCAGCCAACACCAGAGCAGTTCCTGTTATTTCTTAGCTTTGTACTGGCCCTTGTTGATAACAGATTTTTTTCCAGACATTTCCGTCACATTTCCATCAAAAATAAAATCTTCCACATCTTAGTGTTGACGGAGTTACGTTAGTGAGAAAACAACAATGGTGGGTAGATTCACTAGGTTTCAGTGGGCGAGACTGGACTGTCACGTAGCTATGGTGGTGCCATATGATGTCTGAAAGAAAGGGAAGAAAAGACTCAATACAAACAAGGTGTGTCAGGCAGTGCAGGAACAGTTTTTTCTGTGGGAGATAGTATCTCCTTTTGCCGTAGACTTTGGATTTTCATGTTTTCAAACCATTTACATGCACAAAAATCTATATAACACACTAATGAACAGGGAAACCCCAAAATGCATAATATGGCCTTTGTTTAAATGTTTGGAGATGATTGGTATCTGACTCAAAGCCATCTGTACACTATAAATTCCCATCTCAAATTGTACCATGATTCAAAGAAACCACCCTCAGTGACCTGGCACATTCAGTGTCTCAGTCTTCAACGTGAAACCTTATTTGGTCAAATAAAATATTATTCTCTGTGCTCAGGGCAAACCTCACTGCATGCCTTATTTGTAATGTATTGTTAGTATCTAGTACTCTTGTACGTTAACTTGTGCTTTTTCTGTTTGACGTAAAGGTTGATCTCAAACATTTTACAAAATTACATACAAATGCATTTTGTTATTTCACATGCTTAGGTATCAGTTTGAAAAATAAAATAATTTGTAGTATATAGAGGGTTTTCATGCAGTTGCAACTACAATTCCAGTTGAAGACCATTAACTCCACTATCTCCTAATGTCATTTCGCTCTATCACAGTGTCACCATGCTTCCCATCCAGAGGCTCATCATATGGCTTTATCAGTGGTGTTTGACATGCAGCATACTACTGAGCTCAGAACTGCAGACTCTTCGCTTGAAAACACATTTCAGCCTGCCAGCAGTTGCGTGACAGAGAACGACAGTCAACGGCAGGCGAGTGCCATCAGCATCACCAAATCAAGGAGTCTCTTTGCTTTGATGTGGACATGCACAACAGCAAGATATAAAAAAGTAATAAAAAGACTCATTATAAGATGGTTGTTTGGGATAATGTTTGCAACAAATGTGCATTGAACTGCCAAAATGAAATCTGTTGTTGTGCAAATTGTCACTCTTGCACGATGAAGAATATACATTTCAACCAATGAAGACTTGATAATAAAAAATATTCTTTGTTATATCCTGATGCCATTCATCAAAAGTTTGGATTTTTTTCAACAACCACTGAAAAGTCAACTTTGATAGTAAAGATTTGATTCAATAAAATTCATGATTTTTTTTTTAAATTGCAGGAGCCTACGTTTTTTAACCTGGGACGTAGCATCAGAAACAGTCCTGGGGACACTTACAGCTGCCCTCTCCAGTAAAACACAAAAGTGAAGATACAAAGTCTATTCCACAGCACCTTCTCTACAGTATGATAATGTTCATCTCAAGAAATTAGCATTGTCATTTATCAACTGGGATTATGTGTTTGTTTTTTTTTAAAGAATATGTATATACATACAATCAATAGTAATATCTGCAAACCCAGTGGAATTTCATATATAATTTTGTGGGATGCAGCTGCAGATAATACAGGACCCCAGCGAAGTTCTGTCTTAGTTTTTTTGGATCTTTTTACATATGTGGAGGGGATTTTAAAGATGAAACAATCATGCTACTCTCACTGCAGATGTGTTTGTGCATAATGTTTTGTGTGTATTCTTTGTATGTGTGCGGCTGCGGAAGGCTGTGTGTCAGCTATTAATTCCCAGAAACAGTTAATGGGGCCTACAGGGTCTTGCTGTGTATACAGCCATGGGCATGTGTTGTAGGTGCATGTGTGTCTGTGTACAACGCATGACTGTGTGTGAAGTATGCATGTTTGTCTCATGTGTGTTTGTGTGTGTGAGAGAGAGGGCAAGGCTTTTGTCTGTGTCCAGTGCAGTGCATTATTCTTCATTAGAAACAGATGAGTGAGTCTGTCTATTCCAGGACTACCCCAGGGTTTAAATCAATCCACCACACAGGCACCCACACACACTCACATATGCACATTATGCACAGTGTCTGTCTTAGACAATGAGTACTTAGTCAGATGCATAATAGAAATTAGCATTTTGGAGTTGTATCTCAGCCAACACAGCACATTCATCTCTGTTAATGAATACAGACAGTACAAAGTAAGGTATATGAACTCCTTTCATATATGGAGAAGCCTGCGAGCTAGTTCAGGCAGTCAACTCGAGCTGCGCTGATATACACACATGACATGCCTTATTCCATAATCACTAACCAAGCGCACCCTTCCAATCTGGCGGTCTATTTAAACTGCACAATTTCCCAGCTCTCCCTCTGCTCCGTATTGCTGCTGTGTAAGCTTTCGCAGTTATTGATTAATCTGACCATTATTGCAAATGCCATTGTCATCCTACCTTTCGGCTTTATTGGTCACTATGTCTATCGTCATCTCTGACTCGGAGAATGAGTCTCTGTCCTAATGGGAAGATATTGGCTTCATCCCCGACACCCAGGCTCAGTCTGCTGAGGCCGCATCACCCGCAAACGACTCACCTGCGGGCCCGTGCACCGCATCCTGGAAGAGCTGTATGCTCGCTACATCTCAGTTCCATCCGGCTTTGACCACGAAGAGCTCTTCAGTTACCTCTCGTTTCAAGAGAGCTCCGCTGATGTCCACACCCCCACTTCCGAGTCCCAGCCCAACAATGGCCCCGCACCCCCAGAGCAATTCCTGATTCCCTCAGGAGTCAAATTCTAACAGGTAATCTGTACTCACTCAGCAATTAATAAAATAATACATTTATATGAAAACATCTATATTGACAGGCTTAAGGAAGTAATAGAGAAATAGATAGAAAGGAAATAAACAAACAACTAAATAAATAATTTAAATGAATAAATAATGATAATGACGTTTGGTAATGATGATGATGATTATGATGGTAATGTTGATTGTAATGGCAATTAAGATAATAATGAAAATCACTTTTGGCATCTTTAGAAACACCATATGTGAAGTTATGTGCAACATATAGAGGAGCTTGATACCTTGGCTGTAATATCAGTACTTGCTCTTCTATGGTGGCTCTCTTTTTATGAGTATCATAAGTCCTTCTCTGCCAAAACTGCAACGTACATTCAGAATTCAGTCAGAACTAGATTGGTGTACAGTCGTCCTGCCACTAATTGGCAGACATTGTACAGGTCATAAAACTCTAGTCTGCTATCTCGATGCTGAGACAAGAGCTTGTTGAGGGCCTGAGTATTAACAGCCTGGTTCTCCTGAATATTCATTCCGCTAAGGCATTTAAAACATTCTTGTTATGAAAGTATAAGGATTAACTGGCTGGCATCTAAGATAGCTGATAGTTGATTGCTGTTAACAACTTGACACTGTTGCTTTTTAAATTTTTTCCAGTTTTAGAGTGATGTTTGGGTAGTGATATTTCTCTTTTAGTGGATAATAATAATAATAATAATAATAATAATAATAATAATTAATAATAATTTAACACAATATTTTCTGTCAGTTAACTCAGCTTAAGTTAGTTTTAGTGGCTAAACAATTGTTAGCATCATGGATAGATAGATAGATAGATAGATGGATAGATAGATAGATAGATAGATAGATAGATAGATAGATAGATAGATAGATAGATAGATAGATAGAATTCCTGAAGGGAATTGGGTCGTCATAGCAGCCAGGTACATTTAAATACAATACAAATACAATACAATATGATACAAATAAAATACTTGAAGTAGAAAAGATAAATAGGTAGGTAAGGTGCAATCATCTAACTTTTAATTATCTAACAACTGCCCTATGTTCAAGAACTGCTCTGCAAGGACTGGAAAAATGCATGTTAATTTCTGTAAATCAGCCTCAAATAGCAGATCTATGCTGGCTCCCAAAAGTGACCCATGTCTGTAAAAACCTGCAGTTGGCTATTCCAGAGCCAGAAGTAGTAAAGGATCTTCTTTTCGAAGAGGTTATTAAGGAATATGTTAGGTCGTTGTTAAAATCGCCCTCTTCAGAGTATATTCTTAGGTGTTTCCAAAAGCGACAAAAACAAGAACGTCTCATCATTGTTTTCTCAGCTCCTTGCGATTCTTCCATTCCAAGCATAAGAGACTTAATTTCTCAAGAGCCGTTTTCCCTCTATGCTTTGTAGAATGCGCAGTACCCAGAGGTTTGTGTATAGCTGGGAAAAGCAGACATTAGATCCCTTCAAAGTCATACCACTTTACCCTTTTCAGTGTAGATGGGCTTCTAAATTGTACTTTATGTTAAACTGACATTCGGTTGCCGCAGTAGCCCTTCTTGACAGAAGCATTTTGCTGGATTCTCTACACATTTGCAAACTCTGTTTTCTTTCCCTGCTATAGTGGAAATAATTTCCATTTTGTGCATTTATTGTTTTTACTTGATTCTATCATCTTCAAATGCAAAGTATCAAAGCTATGCTAGCAGGGATTCAGTTTCACATTCGATGTAAAGATCCAGCATCCCACTTCTTCTGGGAAATCCTCCATTCAGCTGCTCCTCAGTGGCTTTAAAAGGTGCATCCTCAAGGAAACGATAAGACTCCTCACACAATTCACTGGTGCATAAATTGTTTTTCACTTATATTGACGTAATATTGGAAGAAATTCTGTTAGGGGCTTTTACGGGTTTCTCAGGTGTGAATATGCATGCAGATCTCATTTTAATCCTCAGAATGAGCTTCCCTTCTCTGATTTAACCTTAGAAGATCACATCACATGTACTCAATATTCTTTAAGCACTCACAAACTGATAGATCTCACCAAGGCACTCAAATTTTATTACTAAGACTTAACTACATTTTGTCCTTTCTCTTCTATGATGAAATCCCTGCATCATCACTCCAACCCATTGGTTGGCGCCCTTGTTCATTGTCGTTGGTTGCCCCCATGACCAGATCCCGGGTCTGCTTAAGATGTGTGATCTCTGCTGAGTTGCGGCCTAACGCGAACACTGTTCTTTCCCTACTTAAGATTGGCGCAGCTACGACCGCAGCTGTCATCTGCCCACATCAACCAATCTACCAAGGCTATGTCAGGCTCCACAAGAAGGAATTTTGATTGTGCAAAAACTCATGAGCTTCTGCTTCCCTTGCTTTTAAAATATGTATCTGCTGACACCCCAACTGGTCGAGGCAGACGACCACCCACCTAGAGCAATAGGGTCTGTCCTAGGTTTCTGCCTCTTAAAAGGCAGTTTTTCCTTGCCCCCATTGCCAAGTGCTTGCTCATGGTGGTACTGTTGGGTCTCTGTACATGTTATAAGGAGTTCGGTCTAGACCTGCTCTATTTGAAAGTGTCCTGAGATAACTTCTGTTATGAATTGGCGCTATACAAATTGAATTGATCATATATTTGCATATCAGGTGGTTGCTGGGTTTAGAGTATCTATATCTTTGCTATAGAGGAAATGTTTCTGCATAATGTTTGCTAAGTAGTATATTCCCTCATGGCTTGAGGTGCTCATAGGGAATAGCCAGTTCACTAGGCAGTGTATTCCGCTGGGGCCAAAGTGCTTCAGGGAATGGCCACACGGCAGCCAAGGTGCCAAGCCAAGGTCACACATAGCAGTTTCGTCACTAAATAGCGTCAGGCTCCATTCCATATTGTTTTGGGGATTAAGGTATTTGCGCATCACTCCCCAATATCTCTATGTAAACATATCTGCGGGGAGTGATGAGGTCGGAGCCTAGACGCCAAAATCTAAATATGCTATATTGCTTTAAACATTTCAAAGTGAGTTAGCTGACTGAAATGGAGTGAAGCCTGCGAGCTAGTTCAGGCAGTCAGCTCATGCTGCGCTGATATACACAATGACATGCCTTATTCCATAATCACTAACCAAGCGCACCCTTCCAATCTGGCGGCCTATTCAAACTGCACAATTTCCCAGCTCTCCCTCTGCTCTGTCAATGCCGCTGTTGCCCTGCATCCGTATTGCTGCCTGCTGCGCTGTAAGCCCCACCACCACCCCAGCATCCACCTGTAGACTCCAACTGGGGTTTAAGGTATTTGCACAGATATGTTTACATAGAGATATTGGGGAGTGATGAGGTCGGAGCCTAGATGGCAAAATCTAAATATGCTATATTGCTTAATAAACATTTCAAACGTGAGTTGGCTGAACTTTTTTTGTGTGTATTTAATGTGTGACTTTAACACTTTTCACATTTTCTCTTTTACTTAATATCTTTACTTAAAAAATCTCCAATAACAATGGCAAAAATATAAATACAATCTAGACACTTTGCAGTCACTTCAAGCAGAATATCACATATATCACTTATTTGCAAGCTCATGTGATGAAATATTTCCAGTCAGCCAGTTCTTATTCAGACCAAGTTTTTCTGGTCTGAATGAGAACAAATATAAATTGAATTTCAGGATGGATATCCTTGCATGATGAGCCTCTCTGCTATCTATAGCACAGATTTTACTGAATATTGCCTACTTCCACAGTGCTGGCTATTTGCTGGGATGGAATTATCCAGTATGCTCACACCTCACTATTTCTGCTTACTCAGGACGGATTAAGCTTTTGGTTTGTTTAGCTTTTCCAACATTGAGAAATTCCTCAACTGTAAAAAATAATTTTCAACTCATCAGTGTTCAGTATAATATCTTACACCAAGATACAAGGAAATTAGACTGCATGTGTCTATAATTCTTTTAAATCTATATAATTATTTAAAATTATTTATGTCAAAAAATCACATTGCTACATCATATATTAAGAAAAAACTGTGAAAGGTAATACCTGATTTCCTTGACAGACAGGAAAACAACACAACTCAACACAGCAGACTGTACATTCAACTGTGTGCATTAAAGTCTGCACCTGCATTTATAATAGGATGGTGAATTTGCCTCTTCATTATCAAATTAGCACCCCTATAGAGAGTAAGACAGACTGACAGAAAAAAAGACAGAGAGATGAGACACTGCATGGAGTAAGCAGATTACATAAGTCCTTCACCTCACATGCCTGACTATGTGACTGCAAAATGCCCAAGAGACTGAGGGATGGAGGAAGGCTGCGAGAGGAGAGGAGGTGGGGGAAGCGGAGTAAATTGAAGAAAATTAAGTGGAAGAGGGGAGAGAAGAGGGATTTGAGAGAGAGAGAGAGGGAGGCTGATGAGAGGTTTATAAAAAGGAAAGTGAAGATGATGTAGAGGGCGTATGAAGTGGGCCTCTGTCATTCTAGTTAATGCCAGTTGCCTCGCCTCAACGACACCAAAAAGACTGCAGCTGAAGAGGACTCTGATATGCAGCCTGACAAAAGCACTTATCAGATGCAGCACGGCTTGAAAAAATGCTGACGTTCCGGCAAAACATTGAAATCAAGTCATCTGAAAAGGCTGATTGATGACCTTTAAAATTGTCTGGCTGTAGCAAAGTGTCAGAGAATATGTTTTGTAATCATTTTTTACTCATTTTGGAAATTGCTGCATTAATCCTGCATATTTTATTAATTTAAAAAACAATTTAAATAGTGTGACAAAGTATAGTTTCTGTGTTAAAAACTCACATTCCTTTTATGTTCTGAAGTGGTTTCATGCTGAAGATAAACGTGTTATC